GTCTGTGAGGGGGGAGGGGTAATTTTCACTCCTAAACTTCGACACTCTTTTGAGATCGTGTTTCACAAAAAAAAACGATTTCTCTTTACTAGTGCCTTTTCGTAAATGTGAACACTCTTTAATAGAATAACTGCTTTTGATAATATTCTGAAAATGTTCCTGCTAATTTTCTTAGCGTGATAGAGTTTATATTTATTTTAGCAATATAAACATAAACAAATAGATGTTGTTTTCTCTTGTTTGACTTTTAGTTAGTTGATCTGATTTTATCTTTCGATGAAATTGACTCTAATCTATTTGTGTTAATGGTGTTATTCGGGAACTTTTCTTTTTTTAAAATAAAATATTAAAATAAAACTAACCTGTTTTGAATTTCTTCAGTTCTTGATCGATTTTTAACCCGATCGTACATAGATGTACTTTGTTTTAATTTTAATTTAGTTTTTAATGTGTCATTCGTGGACTTTTTCGAGATTTTGTTGTTATCATCAGAATTTATTATTAATTTTTGGTTATTTTTTTTCTTATCAATTTTTAATATTGATATTAAGGATTTGTTTAATGAATTTTGTTCTATTGTATCCAAATATTTCTTATTGTTTTGATGCTGTTGTTTACATTTTAGAATTTTCTTATTTGATAAAGATGTTTTCTTTTGTTGTATAGAAATTGATGATAAAGATTTCTTTTCTATCTTTTTATGATTTTGTACAAGATTTGGTTTTTGAATTTTATTCAATTCTACAATTGCTTTTTGATTAAATTGATCAGGAATTTTTAAAGTTTTTGGATCAAGATGTTTGACAGTTGATTGAGACACATTACTATCAGGTGATGATATTGGTGTTTCAATAACATTTTTTGATGATTTCATTATGGTTTCAATAGGTTTTTTGTTTGATTTCTTAGATATTTTTTCTAACAATGTTTCTTGATCATGATTAACTGATGTTATAGATTGTTTTGATAATTTTTTCATCTCGGTTTGATGTTTATCCGTATAATTTGTAATTAGGTTGTGAGTTTGTTGGTTTATTGATTTTTTGTTCTTATCTAATAATAGTGTTTGTTTGACTTTTGGTTTAAATACTGGATTTGTTGACATTATCTGAGTTGTTTTACACGTTTCATTCGATTCTGTTTGTGATGAATTACAAGATTTTTTTAATATTGATTTTAAAACAATTGGTTTTATGCAATTATCAGTAACGTGCTGTTGTGACATAGGTGAAATATTTGATGACGGTGAGTGATTTTGATTTCTTTTGGTACTACTGAATGTAATCAATTCTGAAGTGGTAATTACTGATGAATCATTGATACTTGATGATATAGGAGCATTAGTAATAATAGATTGCTGTGATAAAATTGGTTTACATTGAAATTTTGCCGATGAATCAAGTCGTTCGAGAAGTTTTACAGGTAAGATATTCAATGAATTATTATTTGTATCGGATAATGATGACGAAAGCTTTCTAGTCGATTGATTATTAGATGTCGGTGAACTTGATTGATTTGTATATGTTGGTGGTGATATAAATGAAGCTGGCATCAATGTTTGAAGTATATTGGTAGATGATCTAAAAAATTTTTTAAGCAATATCATGCGTGATAAATAATTTTCTTTTTGGATCTCATTTATTTTGCTGTACTCTTTGTTTTTATTCAAGTTGAAATGTTAAATATTCTTTTTTTATTAATGAAATAGATGGAATGTATTCATTAGAAAGTCATTTTGAACTTAAAATTAATGAAAAATAGATTATTTAAAATTCTCAGCATAACTATTTGTTCTCATGCAAAGTGATATTAATGAATAAGAATATAAATATCAATGAATAGTTTTTGACACTATATTACATATAAATTTTTTTTTGCAAACTAATGAAGATTCTGAAATATCGAAAGAGAATATTCATTTGTGAATAAATTCAAATACTATACTATTAATTGATAGTTTATTTTTCTCTAGTTTCTTTTTTATTTATTGTATAACAATGCAAATGAGTAAAAATAAAATAAAAATCTAAAAGAAGTCAAATGATAATTAGATCGAAATAAATTTGGTTTATAATAAACTTCGAGAAGAAACAAAATTCCGACCAATTTTTTTCTTGAAAAACATACATATTTTAAATTAGATTGGAAATTAAGGTGATAGCTATGAATGAGAGTCATACTACTTCCATTTTTTCAATCAAGACAAGGCTATTTTTTTTTATAAAACTTGACCGGAGATTTCCGGAGTCGAAAAATCTGAATCTCTAATCGACTTTTTTGAAATGCTACAGTACGAGCTGTTCGGCTAGAAAATGGCTATTACAAACTAATAGCGAATTGTTATGGGACGTGAGTACATCATAGGAAATAGGCTTTCACGGACAGAAACAAATCGAACTCAAGAATTTCGAAAAATCAATTAGAAATTCAAAAATGTCCCGACCCCGAAAATTTTTAGTCAAGTTTTATAAAAAAAAATCGCTATGTCACAAAAATAGTTTTGTATTGATTGAAAAAAAATTAATTAATAATAGTACGACTCTCACTCATAGCTATCACCTTAATTTCTGGTCTAATTTCAAATATTTATCAGTTTCGTCAGTACCAAAAGGTATTCGGAGGTTCTAAAGTTGCACTTTCCCCTTTGTACTCAATAGATAACTCAATATTCTATTTTGAATAAATCTTACATTGTATTATTGTTCGCTGCCGTTAGAGCATTATGAATGGATAGTGTTGAATCAGATGAATTCGATATAGCCGCTGTTGTAAAATGACATGGTGAAGTTTGTTGAGCATTCAAAATAGTATTTCGTTCTATTTGTATACATTGCGTATGTGTTGTTGGTATTGTTTGATTTGGATTTTCAGAACATATCGCTGGTGATAACAAGCAGCTATTTCGATTGAATTCATCGATTTGTTCATCTAATAATCTTATTCTTTCATTAAGTTCTCTACATAATGATAAATCTTCATTACTCTTATTTGTTGAAATATTATTTAATTGAAATGATAAATCCTTTGAATATGCTTTTGAATTAAATGTATTCGAAATATTTGATGATTTTGTTAAAATTCTAGCGAATTTTGGAAGTGGTAAACATATTGAATTGATTAATTGATTACATTGAGATGAATAAATTTGTAAACGTATATCTGTTTGAATAAATGAAGAATCTGATTCAAGTGGAATGTTTTTTGTTGGAAAGATTTTTTGAAGTAATTGATAAGAATTTGTATTAGAAGTAGAAATTTCATTTGATTTCTTTTTATTTTCTATTTGTTTTAGATGCAATATTTGTTCTTTAGAATATTTTTTTACTTCATCATCATTTATCTTTGAACGATGATTTTGCATAAGCCAATCAAAAATACGCTCAGTATTTGCATTTTTATCTGTTTCAGATTGGATTATTTTTTTATGATTAATTGAATTATGATTTAATGATGAAGAAAAATTATGACGAGTTTGATTTCGACTTGATAAACTAATATTTGAAACTAAAAAGCAAAAATAAAAAGTTAAGACTTTATTTAAATATGAAACGATTTCTTTTCATACGAGTTAACGATGGTCTACTTTGAGGTGTTTTTGAATAATGACTAGAAAAAGAAAAATTTATCAAAAAAATAAATGTTTATTTTAATATTGATACCATCGATCAGATTGATGAGATCGGTTTGTCGATTGATTATTACTATGTGTTTAATATTTAAATGCAGTACTGTTTGCCGAAAATTCATTTTTATCATATGAACTTCTTTGAATTGTGACTTTTTTACTCTAATATTTGCTGTACAAATTGATGAATTTCGGAGGTTCCAACAAAGTTTTATAGAGAGGCATCCGGGTACGGAATTAAGTGGAAGTCAAATTCAACTCTACTTTTCTTTCATGCCTATAGGCTTTGATACTACATTATTGAAAACTCGAAAATACTGCATCCGCTTGTACAAAAAATATTAGAGAACAAAATCTACTATTCAAAAAAGTTCATATGTTAAAACTGAATTTTCGGCAAAATATTATTTGACTCCATGGAGAGCACTAGATATCAAGCATCCAATCCAAGTCCAAATAATGGTTTCAATAGACAATGAAGTTCTCTATCAAATGCATTACATACCTGAATTTCATAGATAGACTATGAAAAGAAGATTTCTGAAAAATCAAACACCGTAGCTTTTAGATCCCTGAAGATATTGTGAAACTTAGTTTTTAAGAGTACCGTCTTAAAGAGCACAGAATCCTGCATGAAATTAGGACTTGTCGTATTTCCTAAGATCTTCCCATGAAAAGTTATAAGCTTCACAACAACTAAAAAAAATATGCGCTCTGTAGCTGATTTTTGACAATGCTATCATAGATTTTCGTATTTTTTTGTAATTCTTAAAAACTAATTTTCACACAATCTAAAAACAACCTTATTTGATTTTTCAGAAATCTTTTTCACATAGCCCATACATGAAACTTTGGTATGAAACACATTTGATAGAGAGCTTTATTAACTGTTGAAACCATTATTGCGATTTAAGTTAAGTGCTTGGTATCGTACAAAAAAAAAAGCAATATGCGTTGGTCTTCTATTTTTGACTAATACAGTAATTAAATGCAAATAGAAAAAACATACTTTTTCTTACAATTTTCTTCTTGAATAATGTCAGAAAATTTTGTGATAAGTATTTTACTTGCAAAATCAACTTGAATACGTTTTGATTGAAATCTTTTCCCTCTTATACAATTAATTGCATGTTGTGCTGCAATTATATCAATAAAATAGATTAAACATTGAACAATACGAGTTTGGTGATAAGTTCGATTATCAATATAAATATCAAGAATTTCATCGGATGATAGATTTGTTATATCATTTACAAATGAACGTAACATTGATTCAGTTATATTTGACGGTAACTTATCAAGCCATAAAACATTTGTTGGTTGACTTTTGCCAAAGCCTAACTAAAAGAAAAAAATTTATTCTTTTATATTGATTGTTTAATCAAGATATCTGAACTTGTATTTAAATATGTTTTAATTTAAGTACAGACATCGATTTTTACCCTTGAACAATCTATTAATAAAAAACTTTTATTCTTCATTTAATCGATCATCATCAACTAATTCTCACTGTCCAGCTTACATCATACAACGTCCATTATTATGAAAATCTCAATACGGAATTATGCCAAGATTGAAGCCGCGTAAAATATTTCTGTTAAGACTAATTGATTTTCATCATCAAAGAAAAGAATTCACTCTACTAATCTATGTATCTGATGTCATTTTTAATCATATAGAAAATCTAGATAAGAATATAAATATAAAATTCTAGTTGATCAGTTTATTGTTAAAGTTTTCAAACATAAAAATTTCTATTAATACTTTTATAGTTTACATATATATATGTATCATTAAATACAAAGCTCAGACGAAAAAAGAATCCGAAGTAATTTAAACACTAAACGTTAGTAATATTTCATGCAGAGACATTATAACGTTGTGTTCAAGGTTAAACTCCGGACGGCAACTCAACTTCCGGTATCTTTCTTAAATAGCTTTTTAATTTAGAGAATGAGGCATGAATGTTTCATGTGTATGTCTCGTTAGAGATCATTTACGTAAATAGATTCTTTTGTTTTCCGTACATTAGATATCGATCATCAAGAATCTTTAACAGAAAGATTATTCGGTTTATCAAAAATATGACATTATCCTTAGGAGAAATGATTTGATTTGCTGGTTTTTTTTTAATACCTTAACCGAATGATTACGAATCAATTTTGATTTCAATGCTTTCATTGCTTTAATTACACTTTTTATATCAACATATTGAATGAAAGCAAATGTTTGTAGATAATGAGATTGTTGCTGTTGTCGTTTTATTTCAATTTCCTACAAAAAAAAAAAAAGAAAAGATTTTCATAATTAATAACAAAATTCTTATTTATTATATATTTACCATTATATCTCCAAACTTTGAACATATTTCACGTAATTCATTAGAAGATATTTCAGGTTGAAGATTACCAATATATAAAGTTCGTGTTGCTTTTATTGAATATTCATCGACATCAAGATCTGAACATATTGAACGTTTCATTGAATTATGTTCTAAATATTAAAATTTAGAAAAGAAAAGCGTTATTTGTTGTTCGAGATTTACCATTTATTAAACCATTATACGGTTCAGCTTGTAATCTGATACCATGAATAGATTTTGTTTTTATAAATAATAATGCTTTATTAACATCTTCAAACTTTTCAAATGTTAATAAAGCATAATCATCAATTATTTTAATACTTAATAAATGAGAAGATATTTTAAATTTAGAAAATATATTTCGAAGTGTTTCACGTAATGATTCACCTAAAATAAAATAGAAAAATAAAATAATATTTAAAAATCTAATAAATATACTTGATATTTTCGATGATAATGGATAAATTTTTAATATTTTCGTTTTCAAATGATTTAAATTTGTTGATTGTCGTTTTAATTTCGATGTATATTGATGACGATATTTATAAAATAAACTTGGAAATAAGAAATTGATATTTTTTCTTTTTTTATATTAGATACAGTTCTTTAATCTAATTATACCTTTCGTTATGTGATCTGTCAGATTCAGATGAAGAAGAACAATTTTCATGCTTGTCTCGTGAAGATCTCATTACTGTTTTTCTAATAAATAATATTAATTTAGTTAAATAAAAAACATTCCTTTTTTGTTTTTTTTCTATTACTTAGAACCATTTATTGATGATGTCTTGTTATTACTTCTTGGTGAATCTGAATCATATTTAATACGTACGACATGATGTCTATGAGATAAAAGCAGAATAATAATAATAAAGATTTAATTCTTTTTTTCTTTCAAATATAAACAAACAAATTGATTCATTTATATATACACATTTCATTTCAAGATAAATAGTAAACTATTAATGAGAGAAGTTCTTCAGGTGCGATGTGCCGATTAAGTCGATAATTTGCCCACAAGTCTCAATAAGATTGGAAAAAATCTAAAAAGCTTCGTTCCCATAAGCTCTCCTGCTCAAGTTACGACTGTTTTCCTGTATGTTATGCCTCTCGCAAAACACATATAAAAACACTTATTTCCTTAATTTTTGACCTGGAATTTTGCGCATAGATTGCTGCTATGAGTATAAGAATGTGCTGAAATTTTCAAACCAAAAGAATGTCTTCTTCTTGAGATATTGCATATCCAAAAACCGATATGTGCTACAAGGAAAGTTCAGAATATCGATTATCTTCAACATGTAATATATCAAGAAGAAAACATTCTAATGACCATAGAATCTATTTGTACGCAAAATTTCATAATTGGGTGTTTTTATAAATGTTTTGTCTGCGACAGAAAATACAGGAAAACGGTTGTAACTCGAAAAGAACAGTGTATTGGAACGAACCCTTTTAGTCTTACTGAAGCTTGCTTGAAAGCAAAATATCGACTTAATTGACGCGTCACACACAAAGCTCGTCCCTCATAAATTCAATCGAATACTAAATAGAACAGAAATACTGAAGAACAAAAGACTTCATTACATTAACATATTCCATAGGCTGTTTAGACATGTGTTGTTGTTAAAGATTCCAGATGATAAGAGAAATAATGACATAGATCATATTCCAAAAGTACTGAGTTCTCCCAAAAGAAATGATGAGGTGTTTATTGGATGTTATCTCTTTGAAGTAATATATTAAGAACGTTTCTTTTTACAGATGTAATCTCAAATTGAATAGTATTTCTATTTAATTTCAAAGCTATTATCATTTTTAATAAGAGGACTTTGTTTTCCAATCAAGAATTTGCATCTCATGTTTTTCTCTAGCCAAAGTTTTATCAAATTAGAAATAATATAGACGGATCTTATTTTTGCTATCTGAAGTTTCTTGAGATCTCTTATATGAAATTCAAAAAGTATTAAATTGGACAAAATAGTCTATGAGCATAAATCTTTTCATGCTGTAGATCAAATGTATCAGAAATATGAGATTATTATATACAGAATAGGATGATATGTCTTTATCAGAAATGATGAATAGTTCAGTTTTTTTCATAAAGAAGGCAATGTTCTTATTTTGCTAAGGTTCTTTTTCCAAAATGTTATACTTTTTTTGAAAAAACTAAGTCCATAATAATCTTCTAGAAATACTCTATATTAAAATTGAACAAGCAAGTTAGTCATTTTTAAAATTTGATATTATTTGTCCTTATCTTCAATAACAATACATAACTGACGTAAAAGATAAATAAAATAAAACACCAACCGAGTATTTTTCTCAGGATTATTAGCAGTACGTAATGAGTATTTATCTCGATCGTCATGAATTGTTGTTATTGTTTTATCCGTCAATGTATTAGTCACTGTTGTTATACTACAAGGAGATGATGAAGATGGTTCAATAATTGAAGAAGATACTTCTAGAAGTATTTTAGGCACTGAATATGAACTATCATGAAATGTTGTTTGTAACTGTTTTTTATCAAGAATATTTTCTGCATGATGTGCTTTTGATGCCGTACGTATATCCGAAAAAGCAACAAAAGCAAAACGTTGATCGTTAATTTTAACTGTTTGAACACGACCATGTCTAAATATATAGCAATAAATTAATTTTTTCAAATTTATTTATTTTTCTCTACCGTTCAAAACATTCTTTAATAGTTTCTTCAGTAGCTGTCTCGGGTAAATTAGATATAGTCAACCATCTTAAATCAATTGGTTTCGATGTTAATAATACTTTGCCAGTAGAAATTTCACTAGACATAGTAAAACTTGTTTGATATGTAGTAAGAAAAAATAGTACAAATTGAAATTGATCAATCAGATATTGATAACAGCAGAAAACAATATCTTTTAAAACTTTTTCTATATCAAACTAATAGTGATATTCGTCACCATTAAAGAAAATTATGACTCTGTTGAACATTGTTGCTATTTGTAGCATCGACATTGAAAATAGAAACAAATAGGGAAGAGAAAGAGAGAAGGAAGAAAAGAGTACCGAATCACCTTACATTATTTTTTCTCTGTTTCTTAATGCTTTTTCGCTTCTCTTCCTTCTTCTGTTTACGTTTTGTATGACAGAGAGTAGATAGCAGGCTGCAAACTATCCTCGTCAATGACTGTATAGCTTGAGACGACGATTCATGATATAATGTTGCAGAACTGATGATGATTATTGTGTTTTCAGAAGATGATGCATATATGACATGGCCTTTATATAGTTAAACGCACAATGACACATATCAGATTGTACTGATAATAGTCTATATAGCTATTATTTTATGAATCAGATTTTTTGCGGTGTTGGAAATCAGTATTCAGTCCTTAGTAATCTTTTTGTTTATGACATTATTATCTAATCATGATAAAGAAGCACAGAAGATGAGAATTGAAGATGAATGCGTTTCCAGCTCGTTCACCATTTAGATTTCATTACTTTGACGATTTTCACAATCATGAATTTTGACGGTACTGTCAAATAGTATTAAATTGATGAAAAAACAAATATTCAGTCTTAGTGGTTTAAATAATGATCATGCTTGGCTTGTGTTTTGTTATTTTTTAGCAAGAGTCTCCTTTTTATTGTATCCAATAAAAAAAAAGAAGCTCCAGCAGAACATTCATGGAAAGTAAATCTATTCGATGTAGAAGCGGAAAATTGATTATATTCTTCTTTTCTATTTTAGTTTGATTGCACAGTAAAAGCATGAAACACAGAATAGAAGCCCATGACATAATGCGCGAAATATTAATGATACTTTTCTCGTTCTACATAATTTAACCTTTGTCCTTGTGTGCATGTCTAGGAATTCACTTGTATTGTTTTTTTTTCTTTATATTTGCATCAAGAGAGAATAAAAATATCTAGGGTTGCCTAAAAGCAATTAAAGACATTGATGAGATTCTTTTTGCTCATAATAGAAATAAAAGAAACAACAGAGAAAAAAGCAAAATGAAAGAAAGTACAAGTAATAAAGTAATAAAACATGTCTTTTTCTTTTTTATTATTTCTTCTTTTGTAAGAAAAATTCTATCACATAGATAAAAAGAAAAGAATATATCACCACATATTTAAATAAGAAGTCCAAGCAGAAGAATTTGAATTAGCATTATTTGTGACTTGTTGTGTATTAGGTTCACTATTTGATGACACATCCACAATAGATGTTGCTTGTTGTGCAACACGAATAAGTTTAGCTTGCTCATCAGGACTTAATTTCAGCATTGTAACAAGAACAGGTATTATTTGTAAACGTTCATGTGTAGATTTTAATATAAAAAATTTTAAAATTATATTTTTTAAATATTCTAAATTTGATATTGATTCAGCACGATCCATATTACGTTCAATACGTCGTATTTCATCTTTAAGTAATGATACTTGTTCACTTAAACGTACATTATTTAATTCTGATTCATTAAGAAGTTCAGTTGTATTAAGTAAACGATATTTTGTTTTATTAAGTTCTTCTTCAATACGTTGACGTTCTAATTCAACATCTTCGAAAAGTATATGACGAGGTTTTTCCACGTTTGAAGATGATGATTGAATAGTGTTAGTGTTACCGAATAAAACATTTTCTAAAGTTTTAACAGCAACATCGGCCGGCTGAAAATCAACACTGGCTGATTCGGATCCCTTTGAAAAGAAAGAAGAATTATTTTTTTGCCAAAATAAATACAAAAAGATTCAATTGAATAGCTATAGTGGCAAATTAAATAAGTCCTACGAGATCAACATTAGCAATATCTGACAGACAACGTCATAGGATGCAAGACCTACAGAATAATATTTGAGTTTTGCAGGACACTCAAGTCACCTAATTGATTATGATCCAATAGAATTCTAGCTTAGTAGTGAAACTCGTGATGATTTTTCATTAGGATCAATAGTAGCTAGAAAAGAACATGTCATACTAGCCATTTGTGTTTTCGTAGAAAGATGATTCAACTCAGCTAGATTAGTATTTGCTCAGAGACGGATATGTTTATCACTAAGTTCAATTGATAACATATTTTGTTCATTCAAAAAGTTCAAGAACAAGTAGTTAAAGATCTTATGAATGTTAATATTTTTTTATTCATTTTATTTCTGCTGGAAAACGTATGATAAGGTTTGTTCACATGATTATTGTAATTGATATTTATGTTAACAATACTTCTATAATATTTGACATTATACCTCATATGTATATAAGTTTTTATCCTTGTAAAAAATGCAATTAAAAGATAATACTGTAAGTAGGACGTAGGAGTGTCGTTTGATCTACAAAATGTGTACTGGAGGAAGAGTTTTTTTATGTCCTGCTCTGCTTTTGATGACTGAGTAAAAATATTCTGCAGAATACAGGACAGGACGTAAAAAACGCCTCGTGACGTTCTCTAATAGCTGTTCTAATTTACATTTCTTTCTGCATTTGAAGTTTGCGCGCAATTCTAGATTCGCTCTTGAATAAAACTTAGACAGATGCTGTCTTACCTCATACAAACTTTACTCACTTTGTATTGCGTAGAAAATTAACTAATTGCTTTATAAAGCAAACTCGTAGATTCTCGGCGCATGATCTAACGACTTGTGTTAAAAGAAATAGATGGCTATTTAACACTCTTATGTTTTTTAAAAAGTTCTTTTAATTATCATGTTTCTTCGTATTTAAAAAGAAAAACAAATTAGTCACAAGAAGTTAATGAAGTTAAAACAAATGAAATTCTTTTCCAATAACTCAAGTTATTTTACTCTCCTATATGGATGCCTGTGTAATAAAGATCTTATTGAATTATTAAATGTCTTAAATAAATTTCTTGCTATAGTGATAATTTTCATTATGCAATTGCTTTAATCTCATTCAAATCAAACTTTTGTTCATCATTTCTAGTCTGCAATGCAAAAATCATTGCCGAAATCTTGACCTATGGTTCACCGCTTAGAAATATATCCTAGAGAGTTCACTCATTTTCTGATTGAAAGAGAATAGGCTGAACTTCAAAAAAAAGAACATAAGAAACCATGTGTTTTTGGATTTACTTTAAATCAGAAAAAAAAAGGTTTGGCACCGAACGTTGCTAACAAAATATCTTGCACTTTCTATTCTTTTCAAACATACCTCTTGCATCAAACATTTTTTTTCCTATGACAGATTATATTTGAAAATATATAATTAAATAAACTAGAAATATTTTTATCACACTTTCAGATGGGCAATGATAAATTATGTTTTAATTCACATTTCAATCGAAACTTTACAAGTTTTTGATTAATTTAAAAAAATTGGTCGTTGAACTTGAGCAATACTTTCTAGATACTGAACAAATTTCTCTCATTTTTCTAAAAGATATTTTCTAAAACAGCATGCAGTTCTCTACAAAATCAAATTAATTATAGTACTTTGGCGTGAAATTCAGGATGAAAATTTATTTGAAGAAGTTGAGATGCAGTAATAATTCGAGAGTGTTACAACAATGTATTATCATTTTATTGAGAAAATGAACAAATACATTTAATGTAGAAATTCATGAATTTTCGACTTTATTTAAAAGTCATCATCAGATGAACTACTAAGACTTAACCAACTAAAACAGTTAAACTTGTACGTTGTTGTATAAAATCATAACCAAAACATCAATGACATAATCAACATAAACTATATATAAATTATTTTGTGTATATAATTACTCATATAACTGCTATATTTTTATTAATAATAAATCAAAAA